ATACAAAAGCCTTTCTGCATTGCATTCTGGGAATAATGCCAAATGAGATCCTAAGAAAGGGTGTACTGTAGTCATAATAAAAATGCAATACAATGTATCATAAATTATAGGAGAGAGGGGATAGACAAGGGGACAGGTGCAGTGGGTTAATGTATTTTTCTTTCACCTCTTGAAGTCTGAGCTCACATACCACTTTAGGTCCTATGTAAAGTTTAAGAGGCAGGTTCTGAATCTACTTCCCACTTATGAGCCGTATTAAGAAAGGCTGTAGGGTACATCCCACCCCACACTGCAGGCCAGGACTATCTGAAGTGCAGGACCATAAAATCATAGACAATTAGGGTTGGAAGGGTCCTCAGGAGACCAATGTAGTCCAATCCGCTAGGCCAGAGGTGGGCAATTATTTTGACTGGAGGGCCACTTAATAAGTTTTAGTGAGCTGTCAAGGGCTGCAAGGGTAGCCCTGCCCCTTTACAGGTGTCCTGTCCTCTGGTTACCATCTTGAAACTGGAAGTCATGCTCCTAACCCCTGACCTTTGGCACCAGAACTCCCTCCCCTTGCCCCTGGAAGTACTCCTTTTTGGAGGGGGGTTGCCACTAAACCAGAAAAAAAACCCGAACCAAATCGTACACTAAAAGTTAAACACCTACTATAATATACTTTATTTCTGAGCTATTATGCAATCACCTCTATATACACTACACAAACACAAATCATGGCAAAAATAGTTTTTTATAATAAAATTAAAGTCTTACTCTTGTATATTGTGTGTGTGTGTGTGTGTGTGTGTGTGTGTGTGTGTGTGTGTGTGTGTGTGGTGGGGTGTGGGGGTGTGACTGTGTGGGTGGGTGTAGGGTATGTTGTGGGGTGTGTGTATATGTGGGGAGGGTTGTGGGGGCAGGGTGTGGGTATGTGAGGAGGGTGGGGTTTGAAGGAGGGTGGGGAGACCCCCCACACTCTCTGCCATGGCACACAACCCCTGCTGCCGGCAACAGGAGCAGCAGCAGCAACAGGCAGTGGGCACTCAGGGCGCTTGTGCCCCATGCAGGTGCTGCCACCTGGTGACACGTGGTTCCAGCCCGAGCTGCACATGGCAGCAAGGAGCACAGCCATGCCAGTCAATCTATATCGTGCAGGGCTCAATGCGGTGCACGTGCAAATCCCAGCATTTGTGCATCACAAGGGGAAGCCCCACATAATGGAGCCGGCTGCCTTCTTTGCTGCCTGCCACCATGGAAGCAAGGGGCAGGCTCCGTGCCACTTCCAAGAGTCCCGGCAGCTGCATATGGCGGGGATGGCAGCCAGCTCCATCGCAGGGAGCTTCCCCTTTGTGGAGTGCGAGTGCCGGAAGCTGCATGTGCACCACAAGGTGCCCCACACAATAGAGGCGGGCTGGCCTGGCTGAGCTCCTTGCTGTGCACCATGAAAAGAGAGTGTGTGGGAGGCCCCCACACCCTCCACCCTCCCTCACACCCCTACACCCTACCCACACAAGCTCCATGCTCCCACCGCAACCCTGGGCATGGGCTCTGCACTCCTGCCATCCACAGCCCCATGCTCCCTGGCCCTATCCAACTGCAACTTCCCTACCTGCTGCCCAGAGTTAGCACTGCAGCAGGGAGACAAGAAGGAGCTGCTGGACCTGGGGAAGCTGAGCATGTTCCCCGTTGGCTGCAGCAGTGGCAGCAGCAGCCCTGCCCAGAAGCTGTGCGCACAAGGGTGGGAGTGAGGTGCGCGGGCTGGGTGGGGTGCAATTAATTGGTGGGCACCCATGGGCCAGATGGAATTGCCTGGTGGGCCAGATCCAGCCTGTGGGCCATGTTTTGCCTGCCTCTGCCCTAAGCAGTGGACAATGGCCTCACCATCTCCATGCTGACATGTATCCACTGGAGTGTTAAGTGCACCAGATAATGCCTCCCTTAAGTATGGGTGCAGTAGGCACGGGGAGCGGCAGGGATTCCTTGCATCCCCTCCCTGTGCACTGCAGCCTGTCTGCAGAATGTAATACACCACAAGGTGTCTCCATCATCCAGAGAAAAATGGGTTGGAAGTACCAGTC